CCCTCAAATGGTTGTCACTTCTCACCTGCTCTGCAAGCTTGCCAATATTTTTCACTAGAATTTCGTGTAAACAGTGTCCAGAAATTCAACCAGTCGACCAGTTTTAATTTATGTTGCAACAAAATATGCATGTATCATTCATATGTAAGACTGTTGCAGTGTAATCTATAACCATGGTATAACAAAACAATTGTTACCTGCTGTGACGGGGTCCATGGGTTCTGTACACCCTCAGTGGCAAATGGCACCCTCGGCTTTGCCTCAAGTTCGGTCATCCCCCTTGGGTGTACAAAAAAACACCATGGACCCCTACACTGCAGGTAACAATTGTTAAATGAATCCAACAAGCACTGTGTGGCACGGGGTCCCATTCAACTGACATGTAACTGACAACAGGCTTCTCATTGCTTTCCTGTCACAGCTCAATGCGATCGTCCGAGTTGCCAAGACCAACGTGGTGGTCATCAAGCTACTGATGGGAGGCCACAAGAGAGATTCCAAAGTGCCCCCGGAGTTTGACTTCAGCACCCATAATATTTTCCCCATCATCAAACTCAAGTAAGCTGAGACTGTCTCCACAAGACTTCAAGAGCACAATTTCTTCGCCGAAATCAACCTGAAATTGGGCAGGGCGGTCTCATCAAGGTTTGAACAGGATGTCGCGAGAGACTGCAAAGTAGCGCCGGAGTTGGAGTTCAGCACTGTAGCATCTTCAAAGCAATCAAAACCAAGCTTGGAATGTCACATCGAGTTGACTGATGAGAGACCGTGGGATAAACTCCAGCGTACCTACACTTGCTTTGAGTTTGACATGCACTCAAGAGTGTCTTGCCTGGGATTAAACTCAAGTAAGCCAAGATTTTCACCCTATGATATCCATGAGAAAAACTGTATAAAGTTACATGTTTAGTTTGGCACTGCACTCACAATATTTGTGCCTTTCTGTTGTGTACGAGCGCCCCTTTCAGAGGAGGGACACTGTGAGATGACAGATATTGGATCTCTATTTTGCCGTGGACACGCCTCTGCCCACTAGTCATGCTGCTTGGAGTATTCGTGAAAGTTACCCAAGCATATGTTTGTTGTTCCTGTTGGGAATGCACGTCGCAGCTCAAGTCAAGGAGACTGGGATCTGATGAATTTTTTTTGTGAAGTTCACGCATTTGGCACTCTGCCCGAACCCTTCTTCGGTAAAATTGGTGAACTCATCACTGGACATTTAGAATTGTTTTAGACTTGTTTTGACTTTCCTACTCCTGAGGTATTTATAAATGTAAATAAATATGCGCATGGCTGCCCTCGATATTTAAGACTGCCGCAGGAGAATGGATGCTGATTTGATGTCCCTCGCCATTGGTGCATCACATTTTTTGGGGGCGCCACCTGTTGTATTATGTGTCAGGCACACGCGCCTATTTCCGTACAAGATAACTGGTTATGACTTCTCACGCCAGGAACGCATGTACATATATTGAAATGGCTAAGGGGGTGTTTGAATGAAATAACATTGTTTGAAAGAATCGTCAGTAATTTTCAAGTCCTATTTTGATTTGACATTCCGACACAAAAGACCCAGCAGTTACAAGTATTGTAATTAAACCCCAAAGTTGAAAAGGTATCGGTCTGTTACCGTGACAACACTCAGCTTTACCTGATCCCTGCAAAGCCCCAACTTCAATAAGCGAAAAATTTGTTAAGTGTGAAAAACCCTTGCTTGACAAGTCAGGTTACCAGCCGAGATGTATATTGTTTTGGAACGGTATTTACCTGTCTTTTGGTGAGCCTGGCAATCACACAGAGTTTGAGCTGGTAACTTTTGTTTATTAAGCAAGGTTTTTTCGTGCTTAATCACATTATGTGCTTAAAGCAGCTCTATGAAATTGGCCCCATCCAGTTTTAAATCCACCATACGATACAGCAGGATAATCCTGTCCATCATGTCATTCTGTCACCCTTGATATTTCCAAGTATGACACTGCCACAAATGTATTACAAATAAAAACCACAAAATGCTGACCAACAGAATTGTCTTCAGCATAAATATTTTTTATTTAACTTTCCTGTTATCATAATTCATAAAAATTTGAAAATGTTAACAATTATCAGTTTTTAAGTCGAACAATGATCTTTTATTAAGCATGAATCATTTTTTCCTTGGAGGGAAAAGGTTCAACACATATCCGGACTAAAACAGGAAAAAAAAGAAGAAAAACTACATGGTGCAATGCATTTCATTTACAAACATTGTGACTCTATCATGAATGAAACAAGACTTCATGCTATAATACATTTGGGAGAGGAAATTCGCAGTCTTATGGGATACCTGTCTACTGCTATATTACAACACCAACATGGCATTCAAAAATATATCATTCGTCATTTTTTTTTTCAACTCGGAACGAGAGCCTCTTTTACAAAATTGCAAAGTAGTTTCCAAGGCGTGTCAGACTTCAAATGCTTACTGACAACTCTGTTTGCTAAGGTTTAGATTTTGGAAAAGGAATCGACGGATTAATCTGAAGTTGGCACTGGACGGCAAACACGGGCTCTTTCATCAATCACAGTTTGATAAAACGTATGGACAAAGTTCAGTCGAGAATATGTCACTGTAGATATGTGCAAAAAGATAGTTTCTCTACATTTTTTTTATAGTGAGGGATAAT